GACGCATCGATATATTCTAGAAAAAACAAAGTGACACAGGTTAGTATGGCAACTGCAGGCAGACTGAGATCGGGACATCCTCAATTGCAGAAGCTAATCAGATTGTCAAGGGAGTGTTCATTGTCCCTTCCGAATGTCGGAACAAGGAGGTGTTCGTGTTGTTGCACAGTCAAAAAAAAAACTGGGAAGAAGTTTGAAGCTTACGACCACGCGGCTAAATATTTAGTTAACCTTCATTTGCTAAGAAAAATAAACTGTTTCCTCGTTTCTAAGAAAAAATGCATTGTTTGTTTAATAGCGCGTTACTCGTCACGCAATTAGCGTTAAAGATATTAATTTTAAAAGTTCGTCAGTTGGCGTTGCGTCTGTGTTGTCTTAGACAGCCGTTACTTTGAAGCCCGGACAAACAAGGGAATAAAAGGACTTTGCTACTTTCTATGTATACCTAATTTTATTTTGTCATCCACGCTACGTCGAAAATAGGACAGTATTCGAAACGTTACTGTGAGACTGAGGAGCTAATCCGATTGTCAATTTCAACATAAGCATGAACTATTTTTGCACGTGACCTATGCGAGAATGAATCATTATATTATTGTTGATGCAAGATCACCACTTTGAGGCAATGACGTAATGGCATAAAGTCCAGACAAGTTTGCTTTCACAACATGAATATTTAGTGCTCGCTTCTGGCTAAGCTCTTCAATGATATCGAAAGAGACATAAACACACTGAATAAGGAGCAGAACTTTTGCTCCTTATAAATAGGGAGCAGAATTAATTTTGCATTTGATCAATTTTACACATCAAAAGTTGGCCGAGAGTCATTCATGACTAAAATTTATTAGCAATCTTTGCTTGTTTATAAGAAACCTTTAAAAAGACATTGGCTGATGCACACGTGTTTAAAACTCATATATTTCTTAGTTATATGACCTACATTTGTTTTCTACTATTTTACAGTAGTTTTTCTTGTTATACGATCAAAAAAGTGTGAATAAAGATTTAATTGACTTCTTCTTCAAAAAAAGTGTGAGGAAAAAAAATAATAAAAACAAAAACAATGGAAATTAAAAAATAAAAACTGCAACAGAAAGCTCAAAAATGCCCGGTTAAAGATTAATTTCTTTAGTGAAACCAACCAACCAACCAACAAACAAACAAAGAAAACCAAGCAAATTTTGATCTCTTTACCATTTCCAATATTGTTAAATAAACTAGTCTTCGAGTAACCACTGCGTAAAGCCCCGGCCACGCGATCGCAACATTTCAACGCAGTATATTGCAACATTGTTGCCGCATGAAGTTGCGTGCGTTTGGCCACCCGGTTTCGACGTGTTGCAACATGCTGGGTGTTGTTGGCTCAAATTTGAAAATAGTCAAATTTTTAATGCGACAGTTGCCTACATTGCATTTGTACTCGTTTGGCCAGGTTCGTGCAACAATGTTGCGGCCGGGCATGCGCACTAGTTCGATTTTTAACACCCAACATGTACATGTCACAACAGGTCGCAACAGAGTGGCCAAACGCGCGCAGCATGTTGCACCCAACAATGTTGCGATATGTTGCGTTGAAGAGTTGCGATCGTTTGGCCGGAGCTTGCAAATGTTGGGCCAACAATGTTGTGATATGTTGTGCTGAAATGTTGCAATCGTTTGGCTGGGGCTTAAGGCTGGCTGCTAAACGTCATTTTTACGGCTTCGCAGATCGATTCGCACAAAACAACTACACACACTTACACTTTTGAAGTCATAAAGGTAGTCG